TATATAAAGAGGTTTAGTCTGCTTAATATAAAAAAAAAAATTGGCAGTTTTTATAGCCATATTATTTTTTTATTCATTAAAATATTAGTTAGTTAGTATATAAACAATAATTAAAATTAAAAAAATAAAACTAATAATTATTTTTTATTTTAATTATTGTTTATAACTGCAATATAATACATTTGTTAATAAAAAATCTTAGTTATATTATTTTATTATTTGTAGTTTACAATAAAAACCAAACCAAGTAATGATTTTATAAATAACTAATATATAATTTTCAAAAATATTTAATAATCCATAAAATGCATAGGGATAGATTTATTAATTAATCTCTATTGATATTTATTTATTTATTTTATTTTTAAATACCTCTAAACTCAATTCCAAAACTTAAAAAAAATCAGTGTGTATTAAGTATAGGTTTTTCATTTTTAGGAGATATAAAACAGTTCTTTAGAATGTTTCATAGAAAACTAATCGTAGTATGAATTTAATTTATTATAGTATATTGCCAATAAGCTGAAAGTTTTCTATGAATCCTAAAACTACTCTATAAACTCCAGCTTTTTCCACATTCGTGATCGAGCTGAATTATTATAATTGTAGCAGAGGTTCTTTTGGGCTGTCCGCAAGGGTATTTCATCTTCAGCAATTCCAAGAAAATTGGGCAACATTTCTGCCACTTGGCTGGTTTCGTGTCCGCATTGAAACTCTTGGCCCCGCCCACAAATACTATCACAGGCTGTCGTGTTCTCTTTCTCTCTCCTCTTGCCTTCGTCTAATTAGGCGAAAAGCCTGTTTCCAAATTTTCACTGCTGCAGCAGCAGTTGCTGTTTGTACTTTTGCTGCTGCTGTTTCTGCTGCTTTTGCTATTTCTGCTGCCTCTGCTGCTTCTGCTGCTGTTGCGTACATTTGGCCATTGCACATTTTTCAATTGGTCTTTGGGAACTGCGTAGCTCTTGCAACCGTCCCTGTCCCCGCCCCCGCCTCGGTTGCCTGCGTCACCTACTCAAGTCTAAGGGAAGCCCATCGAGTGGGCGCTTGGCATCCATCTTGTTCTCGTTCTGGTTGCGCTTGTGTTTTTAAGGCTGGGCGTGTGTTTTGTGGGTGAGGATGGGAGTGGGGCGCGGGGCGCGGGGCGCGGGCACGTTCTGCTCATTCATGCAAAAATCTCACTCACTCGACGACTCGACTGCAGCCACAAAGTGAATAATGAAAAACTTTTGCAATTTCAAGCGTGTTGCATGGTAATTTTGTAAATTTTCTGCCGCTGCCTCAGACTTTGTGCCGTCTCATATTGTTGTTGTTGCCTGTGTTGCTTGTGTAGCGGCAGCATGTGCAGCGCCTGGTTGTAAGCCTCAGCCTCATGCTTCAGCTATTGCTCCAGCGCCAGCTCCAGCTCCATCTCCCGCTTTTGCTCAGGCTTTTGCTTCATGCGGTTCAGAGCCGTTGCCATTGCCAGACTCGTTCTTCTTCTTCTTCTCGTTCTCGCTCTCGTTCTCATTCCCGGTCTCATTCTCATTCTCTCTCGTTTCCATTGCCGCTGCCAAGTTGACAAGCCTAATTTATCAAAACAAAACACATTTGCACAATTGCAAAGGCAAACGCAGCAGCGCTGAGCACAAACGAACGCCAAACACTGCACAGTGGAATGCAATTATATCCAAGACAGTATGAATCTATTAATTAAGGCATACGATATATATAATTAAGATAGATTCCAAACAAAACCTTGCAGTAATCAATCTAATAGCTACGTATACATATATTTTAGATATTTCTAAAATTATAGTCTGATTATAACAATATGCATATATAACAGCTCTTCAGTTAATTTAATCTATTTTATTGTTATATTTTTGTATATTTTTAAAGTGATTTCATATTTTGTTCATACATTTAAGATAAACTAATTTTTTCATTTTGACATTTATTTTAAATTAAATTAAATTTGTACTATTGAGCTGAGAAAAGGTTAATTTAAATGCGTTTAAAATAAGAAATTTGGGAAATCAAAATTAAAAAAATAAATAAATAAATAAATAGAATAAATAAATAAAATAAATAAACAAATAAATTGAAAAAAAAAAATATATATATATACATCTGAAACGCTTAACATAATCTGTGGAATTCCATTCCAAAAATATAAAAAAAAATTTTTTTGCGAAAGTAGTAATTAAATTGTTATCTATACGGAATACGAATTTAAAGCTTTGACTTCGTAAAAGAAATAAATAAAATAAATAAAATATTGATTGAAACGTAAATCACATATATAAAAATTAACAAAATATTGTAGGAATTTATTTTGATTTATTAATAAATTATATATAAAATGGAAATTTGATATATTTTCAAACACTACCACCAAGTATTTTCTCCCTTAAAAAGTTTATTCAATGTTTTTCTCTCACTCAATTGTAACTTTATTAATGGCAATCGTAGTGAAGTTATATAATCCCTAATAGATCCTCACTGAGAGCTCTGCGAAACTTCACAATTGTTCATAATTTCTATAATTACATGAATGACGTACGTGATGCTGCATTTATTTTATGCTCTTGTTGACCTTGACTGACTTTTTTTTTTTATCAGTGGAAAAGTGTAATGCAATTAGCTGCACAATGATAACTGCTACACACGCGCTCAAACTATGATAATTCTATATCTTTCTTTATATACCCTGCAGGAATTTAAACAGCAGAGAACTATCGTTCGTAGAAGCAATTTATTAATTTTTAGTAAGACTCACTCATTGCATGCCTTGTTTAAAAATAAATATATAAATAATTTTGATTATATTCGAATATATTTAAAGCTAAGCAAAGCTATTTAATAAGTGATTAAAATAATATTGAATAAGATTGTTATAATATAGGAAGAAGAAATTAATATAGAGTTTTACTAGTAAACTTAAAAAATCATATACTCGGGTTATTTCAATTTAACTTGAACTATTTGTTTATTCTCAATATTCGTAAAAGACAGATTATAAATAAAAAGAAAGACTTGACTTGAATTATGCAACTATTGGGCTTGTATTTAACTTTTTCATATACAGTGAGTAATATAAATATTCAGTCTTCTCTTTTACAATCGATATAAAACAGCTTAAACTTTAGCTAGCTAAGCAATCATTGCCTGTGTACTACAGGGTAACTACTAGTCGTTAATATGTGCTACTGTTGCTTGCTTGTTTTTCTTTTTTTGTGACAAGTTTCTGTTAGTTTTTGGCCAGCATCCAGACCAGTGTGCCCAGCGCATGAGGTGGTTAGCAACGCTCCCAGCAGCATTAACAACAGCAGCCAATCCTCCAGTCGCGCCTTTGGCGCCTTCAGCAGCAGCAACAACAACAATATGAGGAAGAGAAACCGTAACCAGAGAGGCGGCAGGCGGTCATTAAGCAAATGGCTGCACTTGCAATTGCAAGGGGCTACCAAACACACACACACACACACACACACACATATATATATATAGAACTATATATAGTGGCCATACACATTGACACAAACTGCAGAGGGTTCGTGGGGGCTTTTGCGACGGATGTTTGCTGGAAATTAAATTGTATTATTATGGCGAGACATTCGTTGCTTGCATTGTTGTTGTTGTAGTTGGCTGCCGGTGTGTGTCGCATTAGTTAGCAGCTTCAAAAAACAGGGAAAAAAAAAACACTGAAAAATACAGCAACGACACAGCGAGTTGGCAGGCTGGCGAAATTGTTGGCATTGCCATTATTTCAATTTTATAACGAGCTTGGCGCCGTCCCCTCAGCGCGGACGTTGCTTTAATTGAACGAACGTCGCCCTCGACCAGGTGTTGACTTTGAACCTACCAAAAATACAAAAAATACAAAAAAAAAAAACAAAAACGAAAAAGTAACATAACGAAAAATGAGAAAACACACATGCAATGCGCTCATTACATTAGGGAATACCAACAACAGTCGAGAACACACAGACCCAGTCCAGACCCAGCCCAGCCCAGCCCAGTTCACCCCTCTCCCCACGTTCCGCTCACTGTTCGCACGGCGCGCCCCTAAAAAGCCGAGACACTCAAATTAAAATGGCATTTGACAAATTTTGGGGGCGCATTTATCAACTTATGTTAATTTTATGCCGCCCAGCGGTTCACACTAGCCTGGCTTCACTTACCTGAGGTGCACCTAGTCGCCTAACCTTGCCCATATCATCAGCTAAGCGAACTGTGTGAAGCATGTTTATGGACATTGCCTTCTCATTTGATTTAATGTTATGATTTTCACACAACTACTATGTAGTATCTATTCCTGTTGTCATTTTTAATTAGTTTTTTCAATTGAGGAAAGTTTTTATGTGAAGTTCTAATATAATGTAATAATTAAGTTTAGTTATGCGCTATGAGTTATTATGTATTTACCAATGCTAAGTTATAAATAAAATTATACATAATACATAATAAAACTAAATAAGCATTTACTTTCTAAAGATAATGTGTGGTGACTCATTTTATTTTCCTTAAGCATATCTACATATATAGTATATAGGGCTGTTGAAAATATATCAATATATATCGAATATATCGATATATTTTTCAACAAAAAATAGATTTATACCGGAATATATACTTAAATTATGAATAATTTACGTTTTGTTCAAATTTTCAAAGCTTAATCAATAAGTATCTTTATTACACTCTGAAAGATTGAAATTCGTTCGACTTGAACATTCTTACATTAACTTCAATTCCTTCCTTCGCTAAATAATAATTGAACATTTTCTTGAAATTATCATCTCTGAATATTTTCGTTACAAGTTTTTGGTTTTATCATTGGCAGGATGTCATTTGGCTGGTATCGAGCTGAGGTAATTGGCGCCATGGCCTCCGTCTTCATGATCTGGGTGATAACTGGCATACTCGTTTGGCTGGCAATCGGACGACTCATTAGCGGCGACTTTGATGTGGATGCCAAGATCATGTTGATCACATCGGGCCTGGCAATTTTGGTGAATGTCATGTAAGTAGGATGCCATGAAGCAGTGGCCTAAACTGTCTGAACTGTCTATGCCCCGAGCCGTTGTCTGTTTGTCTATTTGTCTGCCTGCATTTTGGCTGTGGCTCCCTTGGGCAGTTTTCCAATTGCAATTGCCGCAATCAACTTGTCCCGTGCCCGGGCCTGGTCATGGGCCAGCAAATGGGTCAACAATGCAGCTCGGTCCTGGCAATGGCATTCCTCTCGATGCCATATCTTCTTAGCCAAGTCGAGCCATGCCATATCCCCCTCCCCCCTGTCCACCCTCTCGACCCCTTCGAGTCGTGCCAGTTGTTGCGGTAACTTTCCCCACATTTTAGCGACAACTTTTCCATCCGCAAGTTTCGAATTTTTTTGCGTCAACAAAAGGCAAAAGCGACGCCAGCAATGACTACGACGATGGCGACAGAATTTTTGCTTTTGCCTGTGTTTGTGTTGGGCCAGTCCCAAGGTGCAGCCGAAGCACTTCGCATGCTTTTTCCATGCCTTTTCCTTTTTCCCCTTTTCTATTTTCTTTTCGTTTTTGGCAGAGTATAATAACTTTGCGATGTGATTTACCTGCCTTAAAAGTTCTTCTTAATTGAATTGACAGAATTTTGAAGAATTTCGGGATTTCAATTCATTTAGTCGCAATTTTATTGATTGTCAAAAATATTTATTTCATTAAATAGTTCATTTGTTATAAACAAATTATTCATAAATAAATATATAGTCGTTATATTTAGTTTAAATATTATTACATTAACTTTAACATTTTTAAATATTTTTCAAATCTATTCATTTATTTATTATTTATTTTTAAAATTTAATTTTATATAGATATAGATCAAATAAGAAATTTAAGTTTCTGTTCTTAATTGTAAATAAATACATAATATTAATTCGAATATTTCTTAATTCATTTAATAATATTCCATTGTTAGTCTTATTTTTATTTTATTTAAAAAATTTTTTTTTGTTTAACATTTCTTCATATTTTTGACCAGTTGTTCTGCATATACAGAAGTGCATATATATTTTTCTTTTCTATTTATTATAGTAAATTTATGGTAATATTTTTTTATTTTTTAATTAATTATTTATTTCAAGGATGTTTTTTATTTTAAGTTTTTTTTTCGGTTTCTTAACTTCTTAACTATTGGATTCATTTGCCAACTCTTATCTTATAATCTTCATTCTGTAGCTCTTCCAAGTTCCATTCCCATATCGCGTTCCTCAATCGATTGTTCCATTCCCATTTGGTCTTCTTCATTCGATGGCCTTTGCTCAAGCAGAGTATTTGAGCTTCGGCTGCTTTCTTGGGTGCTTACCGCTTTGTTTTGATTGCATCGTATGCAGCACCTGCAACTGTAGCAGCCATAGTTGCGACTGCTGCCTCTCCCCTCAATCCCCTCGATCCCCTCATAGAGAACGTCTTTATGCCGCTTGGCCGCCCTCTGCTCTCAGCTCGTTCATGTGGCTGTCGAAGCATAGTTTTTGGCGCATAAATCGAAACGTTTCAATGCTCGGCACATGCTGGAGCGTGTGTGTGTGTGTGTTTGTGTTTATGTATGTGTTTTTGTGTGCGCGGCGACCCGCCGCTGCATGCCCTTTCGCTTCTGCTTGCTGTTGTTGTTGTTGTTGTTGTTGCTGCTGCTGCTGGTAGTAGCGCAAATTTTCCAGTTGACGTTGGCATTTTCAGTGTTTGCCACTTGAATTGTTTGATTACGTGAATTGATTGTGAAAAACGTGCAGCGGCAGCAACAGCAACTTTTTCCCAATCCCCCCGCGTTGCCACGTCCTCCTGCTCACCCTCTTCCTCCTTTTTTGTTCAACTAAGGGGCGTGGCACGAGTCCAGCAACGGTCCGGCTTCGGCGAAGTGCTGAGGGGCTGGGGGAACGGGCCAAGGGGAGGTCATCAGCAAAAGAAAGTCAAGTCAAGTCAAGCTGAGGCTTGACTTGTCGCAACGTGTTTGGCTGCACGTCGAACAGCGAAATTAAATGGTCACCTTTTACTGTTATGCGATCTTGAAAGCTCCTTTCCATTGTCGTTGTTGCTGTTACATAGTGAGTGCTGTATGTGAATGGCTGGAGTATGGGGTCTGCTAGTTGCAATTATTGTTATTATACCTATAAATACTTGAGCGCCGGGGTATGCTATTGAATAACAGCTATATAAGTGATGGAGAGTGATGTTCATGCTTAGGATAGAAAACAGGATTAGGATAGAATATCTTTATAGCATCTATTTTGGACTCTTGTATAATTTTGTATCTTGTATCGTGTATCTTTTATCTTTTATCTTGTATATTGTATATTGTATATTGTATCTTGTATCTTGTATCTTGTATCTTGTATCTTGTATCTTGTATCTTGTATCTTGTATCTTGTATCTTGTATCTTGTATCTTGTATCTTGTATCTTGTATCTTGTATCTTGTATCTTGTATCTTGTATCTTGTATCTTGTATCTTGTATCTTGTATCTTGTATCTTGTATCTTGTATCTTGTATCTTGTATCTTGTATCTTGTATCTTGTATCTTGTATCTTGTATCTTGTACCTTGTATCGTCTGTTCTGTTTCATCTTCCATCTTCTATCTCTAATCCATCTATCTTCGCTATTCTTTATTTGTCTTCTTCATTATCTTCTCGGAGCAGGTCTCCACGAGTTTCTTATAATGCTCAACTGGTTGAAGTGCAGGTCTTACCGCTGTCAAGCTACTTAAAGTTTATAGTTGGCTGTCCGACCTTATGGCTCACACACAATTTGCATTAGGTTGGCGGAAACAGCTGCAACACTTTTTCGGGCGGCTCGCTAGCCCGTGGCGCGGGGTGTGGGAGGGGGCAGCNCACGAGTATGCATGCCAAATTTCAGCTCTCTAGCTCTTATAACTTCTGAGATCGACGCACTCATACGGACGGACGGACGGACGGACGGACAGACGGACAGGGCTATATCGACTCAGCTCGTCGCGCTGATCAAGAATATATATACTTTGTGGGGTCTGCCACGCCTCCTTCTGCCCGTTACATACTTTTTCACAAAACCCTGATTTCCCATTTTCAATGGGTTCAGGGTATAAAAATGATCGTAAATTACTCAATTCTTATCGGCAGATAAATAAAGCTTAAAAAATTTGATATATTTTCTGATCCTCTCTTGATTCTACCCTGATATTGATTTCTATAAATGAGATATAGCTGAATAAATTCATACATTGTGCCGCACTTTGATTTTGCTTTCCCGCTTGTTGCTGCTGCATCTCAATTCGTATTATAAATAAATAAAACCCAGAACACTTTTGCCGCTCAATGAACAGTTTTTCAATTCAATTTGCAAATCGATAAAAGTTTATTTTTCAACTGCAGCGTTTTAAGTTCAACTTTTTTGTTTGTAATTTATGCGGTAAATGAAAGTAATTAACTGGCATTTAAAATAAATGACTCGGGCCTTAAGTGCATTTACATATAGATAGAGGAGGAGGTGGAGGAGAAGGAGAGGAGTAGAGAGAGAGAGAGAGGGTGGACTGAGTCAATGAGATTGTTTTTGTTGAATCTGTTCAATGAATCTCTTTCGGCTGTTTTGCTAGCCTGATTTCCAGCATGTGTGGCCGCTACAGTCCGGGGCGCATAAATAACAACACAACACACTCGGTTGTAAAATGCGCGCATTAAGAGTAGCGTAATAAACGTGGATGCCACATGGTGGTGGGGCGACAGCTTAACGAGCTGCTCAGACGCTTTGACATGGACACACACACATATGCACATATGCACACATATACACCAACAGGTCACATACGAGACGAGGGCATCCTGTAGAGGCAGGGTACAGGGGTAGAGGCGGGGGAATGGATGGTGCCATCTAGTGTGCCATCCAGCCAAGATATGCGCTAATATTTATGTTCCTGTCAATTAAATCAGGACATGTTGCCAGGCGCTGGCATTGCCAACGCCAGCAGCTAGCTTGTAGCTAGCTGTCCTGGTTAGCGCCGGTCTTTGGCCGTGGTCGTCGTCGTCGTCGTCGTAGTCGTGCTCGTGGTCGTGGTCGTGGCCGTGGCTCTAGTGTGTCGGCGTTGTCATGGCTGCTGTCGTTTGTTGGCCACTAACGAGGCGAGTAAAGATGCCGCAAAATCAAGGGAAATGCTTCATTGCGCACTACAAATTACGGCGGACGCAGTTGGAACAACAATGGGGCGCCAAATGGTTAGAGCGAGACAGATGACTGGGCAGGAGCAGCAGTAGCAGCAGCAGCAGCAGGAGCAGCAGCAGCAGGAGAGCGGTAGGAGCAGCAGCAGGAGCACAAGTAACACAAGCAACAGCATTGACATTTTTTTTCGCTCGAGGACACACACGCTGCTCGCAGCGTTTTTTGGCGCGTTGAAAATGCCTTGGCAATCGGATGTTCAAAGTCAAAAAGCGTATGTGCTCGGCATTGAATACAGCTTGCAGTCGCGCTACAGTCAAGCCTCGCTCATGCGGTCGCATCTGCTACTGCTCCTGCTCCTGCTCCTGCTCCTGCTGCCCTTGCTCTCGCTCCAGCTCCTGTTGTTGACCGTGACGGGTGGTAGCCACGGGCAGCCACAGGCAGCACGAGCAGTCGCAGCATCTGTCCCAGCATTGCCAAGAGTAACTAAAGACCTGCCCTGTACAATTTATTTAGTAGCCATCAACGCGCCAAGCTGTGACCAAGCTCTGCACCAAGTGGCAGTAAAGTCTTTGTTTTGGTGTGTATATATACACATATACATATATATATATTTTTTTATTTTATTTATTTTTTTTTTTTATTTATTGTGTTTTTCTTTTTTGACAAATTATGGCCGCAGCGTTGCCGCGTCTTAGAAATTGAAAATGAAATTGACTTGTCAGGCTAACAAGCTCAGGTTCAGCAGCCACTCGCAACTCTCAAGTGGCAAACGAAATTATACAGAAATGTTTTTTGATATAGACAGAAATTGCAGAAAAATAGAAACAATTTTCAAATAAGAAAAGAAAAGTTCTTAAAGATATTTATATATGAAACTTTTGTAATTAAAGTTTTTTTCCAATAGGCATTTCGTACATAGATAGAAACCAATAAGACATTAGGTTTGGTAAATTGATAAACATATTGTTGCATTTATGGTGTGAACGAGTATTATGTAGTTAGATATGCCTGACTGCTATCCTTATACTAGTTAAATATAGAAATGTCAATTTGAATATACCACAGTTAAATATATTAAATTACAATTGGCACTTCAGACAAAGATGGGAAGATTTTGTCATTTCGACATTTGAATCCTTAGAGAAACTCATCCCGAGTTATTGCATATTTTTATAGCTTTCTGCTCTGAAGTATATGACGGCAATAAAATTTAAAACTTGTATATAGAGAGACATATAAATATTCATATATAATAGTATAAATTAAAAAATTATTACAT